TCTTCTTGTCGGCGTTGTTCTTGGACTCGAACCGCTTGGCCAAGTGCGAGTCGTAGCGGAGGCGAAAGAGTGTCGCAACACTCTCATCGCCCCACCGCACGGAGCGCTTGGTGTCGGAGGACGCCTTCTTGTCCTTGCGCTTGCTTGGCTTGGCCATCGTGGCAGCAGCATCTATGGCTTCGTATGAGATGTATGATATGTGTGTATGTGTTGCATTAACCTGCAACCAACTGTGCCGGTGGTTGGCCCTCGTTGTCGGACATGGCTGACGTGGTCGGACAAAAGCGTGCGAAAAGCAGGAATGACTGGTTACAGGCAGGGATGGAGAGTCCATGCTTTTCACGACACGAAAAGCAAGAAGTACATTCGGATTACGGATAATTGTAGCCAATCAAACTGATTTTGCAAAAGCAGGAATGGCGAAAAGCAGGAACAATTCGTTCGCAGACCAGGCTCTAAATTGCTGCGCGCGTCGCCTAAATTGAAGCAGCACAAAAATAGCCGTTTTTCTAGAGAACCATTCTGTACATGCACTTCATATGTCCTCATCAGGTCAGTGCTCACTCATGGTCGAGCTGAATGCAACAACGCGATCGTTGTTGTGCATGTCCAGGATGACGGAGAGAGCATGCGTTCGATTCTCGGCAGTCATTCTGACTGTGCTCCCAACAACATCGAGCAAGCATGGAGTGTGTTCGTTCGTGCCCTTCACCATCACAGCTTCCCAAGCCACGAACGTCTCGAATTCCAAAACGCAAACGGCAAGGTGTGCTGTGGCACCAGGCGCGAATGGCTGTGAGTGCATAAATGGAGCAGTCCACTAGATTTTCGCTTGGGTCGATGTGCCTGTCGTTCCATCTCTGGACAAATACAAGTTGTTAAGTGAGATCATCTTTCACTCCATTTCGTATTTTTACGTGAGCAGAATACGAACATGTGACGTCGTAAGTCAACGCCAACGGGCAGCTTTGAGCAATTTCTTTGCTTCTAGCAGCTACCAATGTGTCGCAGTACTTGAATTTCTCGCCCTTGTCTATATCTACCAGTTTGCTCGGTCTAAGTAGAATTTTGCTCATACGAACACAATTGATGACACATTGATGAGCACAATGACTCGCAACAAATCGAGTCTGCTCCTTTCTCAGGTCTTTCAAATCGCGCGCTTGTGATGCGACGTGGTTTGTGGAGCATCCCGAACCTCGTCTGGTGTAAGAGATCGTTGAAAGAAGATGATTAGTACCACAGCATAAAAGATTCGCGGTGTAGCGATCAGCGAATAGAATATCGTAGATGTCACGCGTCGATAAGAATCCAGCGTTACAAAAAGAATTGACATCATTGCATTATTGTACTTCACATACATATATCACATACATATATCAAGTACAAAAGCGACCGACAAAGATGTGGCTCCTTCAAGGATCGTAAAGATACGAGAGATGTGGAGTTGTTAGGAGCTCATAACTCGATCATACAGTATCTCATTCTACAATTTGCCTCGTCTCGCACAGTTCCAACATATCCCCGCTTCCTCCACCGCCGAGCAAGTGCTACATTTGCACATCTTGGCTTAAGAAAAATCTCTGGTTTCTTTTTGTCCCTTGGTGTCCCTACTGCCGACTGCCTTTCCGAGCGGTTGTGTGGTCGTGAACTTTGGCATCACGCAATTCCTCCATCGGTTGGGCTGGACTTAATCTCTTCGGAGTTGTTCCGCAATCGTCGTAAGGAGTAGA